CCTAGCAAATCTCCTTGGGTTTCTGTTTCCCTTGTTGCAACACACAGAAGATGAGGGAAAAACACAGTTTCTTCTAGAATTGTGTTGCAGGCTGAATGCTCTGCACAGTACTCATTGAGTGATGTGTTGGTTGTGTTACCCAGAGATTCTTTAGAAGAAAAGAAGGTGAATTCATCTCTTCCAGCTGGAAAATGACCTGGACACTTCACCAAAACCTGCAGGAAATCAGACAGATCTGTGTCAGCAGGGGAGACGTTTGATTTGCAGAAACACGTTTAAAATATGTAATTCATAACTATGTCCTTTGCCTTTTTCCACCCCCCCTGCAGCTGGAGCAGCAGAGGCAGCAGCTTCTGACCGAACGCCAGAACTTTCACATGGAGCAGCTGAAATACGCGGAGCTGAGGGCGCGGCAGCAAATGGAGCAGCAGCACAGCCAGAACCCCCAGCAGCCTCACCAGCACCCCGGGGGGCCTGGCATCACCCCCCTGGGGGCACCAGCACATCCAGGCTTACTGCCCCACCAGCAGCCCCCGCCCTACCCCATGATGCACCACCAGATGCCACCGCCTCACCCGCCGCAGCCCGGTAAGAGGCAGGAGCAGAGAATGCCCTGATGTTCATCACTGTTGGTAACAGTAAAAGCAGAGGGAGAGTCACTGCCAGGAGGAACTGCAGGTGTAACAGGTGCTCTGTGTTGTGTGGTGGTTTATAACAGTGCTGCTTACAAAACAGAAACACAGTTGGCTGGAAAGAGGAGCTCTGCTTGTAATAGAGCTTCAGTTTACAGCTCCTGGTCCTGGACCAGAAGGGCAGATGGAGTCTGGGGAGATGTCTTAACAGTGTGGATCAATACCCAAAAGGAGGGGAAGAAAGAGGGAGCTGGGCTCTTCACAGAACCATTGGGTCCCAGACTGGTTTGGGTTGGGAAGGACCTTAAAAATCATCCAATCCTACCCCCTGCCATGGGCAGGGACACCTCCCAGCAGCCCAGGCTGCCCCAAGCCCCATCCAACCTGCCCTTCAGCACTGCCAGGAGAGCAGCTTTTGTCCATTTTTAACTGCTTGACCAGAAACCATTCCAAAAAGACACAGTCAATTATTAGCTGGAAATATTTTGGAAGATCTTGTCTAGGTTGTTGCTGAAGGAGCTGAAATGTTGGGGGTGTTGATCAAAAATAGGATGTGGCAACAGAAGGGCTGCAGGAGCTTTTGTCTCAGGAAGGGACCCATGTTAAGTGTATGGTTTGGAAAAGTAGAATTGCTTAGTAAACCAGCAGGGTTTGCAGAAGAGCATGAAAATGGGAGGCATCTAATCCAACTGTGTGTATCTCCACACTGGTAAAACTTGGTGGAAGCAACAGATGCAGAGTACTGCTCACTGGAGAGGAAGGGAGGAGTTGGAGGTCTTGTGATAGGAGTGCTGAAGTTCACTGTCATTTTAAGAGTCCAAAGCTAGTTCCATGATGCACGTGTGGGTGAAAAATTAATGCTGATACATTCTGGGGAGCTGCTTTGCTGAATTGTACTTGGGAGTGTGGTAAGATGGGATCTGGTTTTTAGATTCAAATTGTATTTTAGCTCAATCTGTCTGTGTCTGTATTGACAAGGTCTGTTCACAGCAGAATGGGGAAACACTCTGTGGGCTGGAGAAATGGCCAAAACAGATGAAAGGGGGGAAATCATGGTGTGTCATTAGACTGGCTCTTACTTACAAGCTGCTCTTGAGACTGGAAATGTAACAAGATGAAGTGCATTGTTGTGTTCATGGGGGGACTAATGGAGCTTGATTTCTAACGCACCCACAGCCTTGGTTCCCATAATTCTTATGACTTCAGCCCCCCATCAGCACCCAGGCCCCCTGTGTCCCCAGTGATCCCTTCTAGGGTGCACTGGGGGGAGTGCAGGACAGTGTTAATTACTCAGTACATCTCCTTTTCAAATTCAATTGAAGTTGATCAATAGATTGACTTTTCCAGCACCCCTCCTGCTGGAGGCTGGCAGACTGAGGGGTGAGGCTCAGCACTTTGTGAAGCATCTGGTGCTGCCTCACACCACACAGAGACAGGACCCAGGGTCATGCCTTTTATCATCTGACAGTTTGATATTTTGTGAAGGGGAGAATTCAGAGTCTCTGTGAGAGTTTGAATGCAAACCCCTCTGCTTCATCCACCACAGCCCAACTGATCTTGCCTAGAAAGCAAACTGATCTCTTTTCTTCAGGCTCTCCAGTGGAAGCTTTTTAGAAAGGCTTGGAAAGTCCACAAGTGCCAGAGTTTCTTGGCTTCATAGTTTGGAGTTTTGTATAACCTGAGGGCACAGGGAAGAAGTGGGAAAGTTCAGAGTGAGTTCAACAGACTGAGCCTGCCTGGGGCTGTGTGTGAACAGTAACAGGGAGGCCTCAGTCCCCAGGGGTAGTGAGTCACCAGTTGACCTCCTTTTCTGTTCAGGTAGTTCAGGGTTCCCAGAATTTGACTTTCCCCCAGAAATCAGCAGATCATCACAGGGGAATCTCTGCTGGAAAGGTCTGTGTTGAGCAGCAGATGGGAAGTTAGTGTCTCCAGAAATCCCCATGGCCCACTGAGGCAGGCAGCAGTTGGCTGTGCTGTGCACACCCCCACCTAATTATTTATGCTAAAAAATAATCCCTTATCACTTAAAATCCTTACAGCTCCTTGTTGTGATAATCCTTATTGTAACAAGGCTTCTGTAGGGGAACCTGCAGAAGGATCTTTAATTTATTTAGGTTGCCCAGGGAAGCTGTGGCTGCCCCATCCCTGGCAGTGTTGGAAGGGCAGGTTGGATGGGGCTTGGAGCAGCCGGGGCTGCTGGGAGGTGTCCCTGCCCATGCAGGGGTGGGACTGGGTGGTCTTTTAGGTTTCTTCCCACCCAAACCAGGCTGGGATTCTGTTATCATTCTGTGTTGAATCTGTGATAAATACTAGAGTAATTCCATCATATCTTATGTATTTTCCTTACCTTCCCATTTTTAGGGCATTTATAGTGTGTTTATAGGGCTTTTATGTCTTGGCGTTTTGATAGTCCCTTCTTGGCATGTCAGACCTGTACATCCCTAGAGCAGCAGCAATTTTTGCAGTTTGATTACAGATTCAGAATCCTTTGAAACAAGCTCTTGAAGCTCAGCTTGTTGTTCACACCTCTCCAAGTGCCCTCACTGTGTGCCTGCCCAGGAGTCTCCTGCAGTCTTGGTGGAGATGCCAACATGTGGAGGGTGTGAGGAGGTGAATTTCTGCTGGGGAGGGCTGAGCTGCACTTGCAGAAGAAAACTGGAAGCTCTTTTTTGCTGTTCTTAGTCCTGTAGATGAAGCTCTGGCTTGATGTGCTTTTGTAAGAAGGAGGAGCTGCTTTCTTATCCAAGTTCTTAACTTCTCCCCAGTGACAACCTGCTGTCCCTGAGGTGGCCAGTGCTAAGAAACCTCAGTGATAAATACCATGGTGTAATTCCTGATTGAGGTGCAAGGAGGTTCTTGGAGCCCTAGAGAAGTGCCTGCCTGCTGGGCTGTCTGGCAGCTCCTCGGGAGGAGCTGAGCAGGTCAGTTTGCAGTCAAGAAAAATCCCAAACCAACCCAGCAGTAAATGAGAAGCACCCGTGGGCAACCTTCCAACACAGCCCCGAGGGGAGCTGGAGATGGAAATACCCTGCACCATTTCCTGCTCAGCTGCCTGGTTTTAACTCCAGACTTTACCTTGGTTCTCACTGATGTTTTCAAACAGGTTTCTGACCTTAATAGTGACTGAAAGTGTAACTGTTGGCTCAGTAGACCATGAACAAAATGCTAAGTCTGATGTCTTTAAAGTGATTGATGAAAGCTGAAGAGATGGTAGGAAACAAGAGTGATGAAAGGATCTGAAAAGGCATTTATAAATGGAAGGGGAGAAAAAGAAATTCCTACTCCCTGCTTCTCTGCATCCAGAGACAGCAGCAGTTAAGCCAGGTCTCTTAACTGAAAGTTAATGGTGAAGGGCTTTCCAGAAAAACGTTGTTTAGCTTCACTGTCAGTCTCTGGATGCACTTGGAGAACATGGTTCAAGTGGGACAAGGAAAAGAGGGGTCAGTGGAGGATCAGTCTGGGCAGAGCTGGTGAACATCTCCAGCCCAGGGTCAGCCTTTGCAGTGAGCTGCTTTCCATCAGCATGGCCACATCTGGTGCTGCTGGACTGTAGGATTCCTTGGGATGTGCTGCAGAGCTGAAATAAGTCCAGAGGCCAGTGCCCATGAGCAGTTTTGGGGAGAGAGAAAATGGATCCAGCAGAGCTCCTCCAGAGAGGAGAGCTCCTGGAGAATCCTCCTTCAAGCAGCAATTGTCCAGTGGACACTCCACATCACACAGCAGGGAGGCTTCCTAAAAGGATTTGCTGCTTCTCCCATGGCTGTTCTTTCTGGGTCCTTTTGCTGGTTGTAGCAAGCAGCAAGGCTGGGTGGTTATAGAGCTTTGAGTCTAACCACCTGAAATGGAGATTTGGGCTTGAACAACCTGTCTTCTGGGCTGCATCTAAAAGGCATGGCCAGCACTGAGCTGCACTTGCAGAAGAAAACTGGAAGCTCTTTTTTGCTGTTCTTAGTCCTGTAGATGAAGCTCTGGCTTGATGTGCTTTTGTAAGAAGGAGGAGCTGCTTTCTTATCCAAGTTCTTAACTTCTCCCCAGTGACAACCTGCTGTCCCTGAGGTGGCCAGTGCTAAGAAACCTCAGTGATAAATACCATGGTGTAATTCCTGATTGAGGTGCAAGGAGGTTCTTGGAGCCCTAGAGAAGTGCCTGCCTGCTGGGCTGTCTGGCAGCTCCTCGGGAGGAGCTGAGCAGGTCAGTTTGCAGTCAAGAAAAATCCCAAACCAACCCAGCAGTAAATGAGAAGCACCCGTGGGCAACCTTCCAACACAGCCCCGAGGGGAGCTGGAGATGGAAATACCCTGCACCATTTCCTGCTCAGCTGCCTGGTTTTAACTCCAGACTTTACCTTGGTTCTCACTGATGTTTTCAAACAGGTTTCTGACCTTAATAGTGACTGAAAGTGTAACTGTTGGCTCAGTAGACCATGAACAAAATGCTAAGTCTGATGTCTTTAAAGTGATTGATGAAAGCTGAAGAGATGGTAGGAAACAAGAGTGATGAAAGGATCTGAAAAGGCATTTATAAATGGAAGGGGAGAAAGAAATTCCTACTCCCTGCTTCTCTGCATCCAGAGACAGCAGCAGTTAAGCCAGGTCTCTTAACTGAAAGTTAATGGTGAAGGGCTTTCCAGAAAAACGTTGTTTAGCTTCACTGTCAGTCTCTGGATGCACTTGGAGAACATGGTTCAAGTGGGACAAGGAAAAGAGGGGTCAGTGGAGGATCAGTCTGGGCAGAGCTGGTGAACATCTCCAGCCCAGGGTCAGCCTTTGCAGTGAGCTGCTTTCCATCAGCATGGCCACATCTGGTGCTGCTGGACTGTAGGATTCCTTGGGATGTGCTGCAGAGCTGAAATAAGTCCAGAGGCCAGTGCCCATGAGCAGTTTTGGGGAGAGAGAAAATGGATCCAGCAGAGCTCCTCCAGAGAGGAGAGCTCCTGGAGAATCCTCCTTCAAGCAG